TAGGGAAAGGAAGAATCCAGGGTTGGGTCTGGGTGCATCTTCAGACACATGGAATTGTGCAGCTGCCTTATACTGATCCATTAAGGTCAGTATCGTCTACTCTGACAGGCAGCGGCTCCCCAGGGTATCAGGCAGAGGTCTGTCACATCACCTGCGACCTCATCCTTTCAACTCGAGGTGCTGGGGATTGAACCGGTGACCTTTTGCCTCCCAAGCAGATATTCTGCCACTGAGCCACAGCTCCCTCCCCTGGTTTTGCCAAGACACAGGAATTGCCTTTCTGGATCAGACCCACATCCATTGAGTTCAGCATCCTTTCTTCAACAACAGCTAAGGCCAGTGCCTCTGCGAAACTCACAAACATGATAGTGGCCATGTTCTTCTGTTGTTCATTCCCATTGTCTGGTATGCAGCTAGATGCCGTCCGTAAACATGGGGACGTGTTTCCCTGCCTGTATCCTGTGGTGGTCTAACAGAGCAAGGAAAACCTAGGGCGATAGCGTCAGTCCAATGGAAACTGGGAGGGTCAGGAGAACAACCAAGAAGAAAAACTTTTTACTGAGGAGCACAGGTAAGGAGAAAGGCGGAGGTGGATCCGACGGAGAAGGCCAACCAAAACACTGGAACGATTGTTGGGGAGGGCGAAGTTGAAACTAAGGCCAGTTGCCGAAGGCACGGATAAAAATCGCAGTCGGATTTGTAGAGTGCTGAGAGTTTATTGGGGATGTGTCGGGTGGTCTGGGGTCATCCACGCACCACGGAGAAGGCCCCCTCAGTTCCACCAGCAGCTATCCATCCCCCCAGTCCAGCGACGTAGCAAACAATAAATTAGAGGACAGGAAAGAGTCCGTCATCAAAGGAGAGGGCGGGGAGGAGAGCCCCCCCCCCACGGCAAGCCCCTCCATCAGAGACTTGGCTGTCGTGTCGGGGTCCATCTCCGTCAGGACAGACGAACACAGGATTTGGATCAGCCGCGTCACGGAGGCTGCAGAGAGAACGGATCGAATCAGTCCAGGGGTCAAAGAGGGGAGATGGACCAGGAACCACCCAGCCTTACCGCCCCGGCCAAATCACGAACACCACTATCGGCCCGGGAGCTGCTTTTTGGCCAGGGAAGCACGAGGCCCCGACTGTTTCAGGGTCACACTGGGACCACAGCACCCAGTCCAGTGACCCACCTCACAGCTGGGTTGCAGGCAGGCCCATAGCCACAGCGGGGCATCCCGGGGCCTGGCCCCCTGGCTTACTGCCAAGGCCCCCTGGCTTCGCATCCAGCCCAGGCCTCCCAACGTCCAATTTTTTATTTAGTGGCGCTCCCTTGGGGGGTGTGGGGTGCCCCCAGACTTATTTAAAGCCCCCCCCCAATTAAAAAATCCTCGCTACGGGCCTGGTGGCAGGTCTGGCTATGTGGCTCCCCCCTCTGTGGTGATAGAGACAAACTGTTCAGGCTGCCGAGGGGAAGGCCTGGCCTGAGCAATCGGCCAATGATGTGGCTTCGGGGCCTGACTCAGAGGCCAATGCAGAGCCATGCCTGGCCATGAGAAGGCAACGAGGGAGGTGCTGGGGGAGGCAGAGAAAAGGAAAAGAGGAGAGAGACAGGAGGAGCAAGAAACGACAGGGAGAACAGCTAGATTCGAATCCTGTAGCCCCTTAGAGAACCAACAAGATTTTTGGGGGAGGTTGAGCTCCTCAGAGTCAATGCTCTTCGTATCTGACGAAGGGAACTTTGACTCTCGGAATTTCGTACCCTGAAAATCTTGTTGGGTCTCTGTGGTGCTCGAATGCTGCAGACCAATACGGCTATCCTCTCAAACTGAGTTCGACTGCGGAAGGTCACAAGGACAAAGAGGGAATTAGCAGAACCCGGACAGCCCCGAGGGAAGGGCCCAAGAGACGGGGCAGATTGGGTGGAGCTGACCACGGGCACAGTGCCCCGTAAATAACGATATCTGTTTCCGTTCGATAAAAACAACCGCGCCGGCTTTCGGACTTTGCCTTGCCGTTAGCGCTTGGCAGCACGACACCAGCCTGCGCCAATCAGGAGAGGGGGAGCCTCAGAGAACCGGTGGTGGGGATTCAGGGACAGGATAAAGGTGGGATCAAAGGTAAGAGAAAGTTCTGAAAGTCATGTAGAGTTAAGAGATCCACCAGCCTCCAGCTGTAAAATTCTGCAGCCTGTCTTAGATTCGGGAGAAGGCGGAGAGCCAAGAAGGCCCCTGAATTCCTGCACCCATTTGCCAGTTTTCTGCTCTTGCAGTGTGTGTGTGTGTGTGTAGGGGGGGGCAGCTTATGAGAGCAGAGAAATGGGGGGGGAACCCTGCAGACACTCACCGACAGCCCGCCGAAGACACTCCGGCCTCTTGCGCTCGGGGACCCGCACCACTAGGAAGTAGAAAGGCAGCCCGGACGCGGCGATGGCGATCCCAATGGCGGAATTGACGGGGTCGGTGTAGAGGGGGACGGCAACCAGGAAGATGGTGCAGAGGCAGAAGACCACCGGGAAGATGATGCTCAGCTGGTGGGGGACGGAAGCCAACGTCAAGCAGGTGACGGGGGGATCTTCTGCCCACTCATTCAACACGTGAGTTGCCTTATGCTGAATCAGACCACTGGTTTCGCGTCACCTACCACCTGATCCCTGCTGGAGAGGCCAGGGAGCGAGCCCGGGGCCTTCAGCTTGCCGAACAGATGCTCTGCCATGAAGCCAAGGCCTCTCCCCCGCCCCTTTTTAACCCTATTTTATCCCACCTTGCACCTCAGACTTAAAATGGGGATTTGAACCTGGAGCTCCCATGTTAGAATCCAGTACTGTAAGAAGAAAGGAGGAGGAGGAGATTGGATTTATAGCCCGCCCTTCACTCGGAGTCTCAGAGCGGCTTACAAACTCCTTTCCCTTCCCCTTCCCACAACAGACACCCTGCGAGATAGGTGGGGCTGAGAGAGCTCTTTTGAGGACTGCTCCCGAGAGGACAGCTCCAAAAGAACTTGTGACTGACCCAAGGTCACCCCAGCAGCTGCATGTGGAGGAGTGGGGAATCAAACCCGGTTCTCCCAGGTTAGAATCCGTGCTTCTAACCACTACACCAAACCACTACACTACACCAAACTGTAACCACTACGCCTCCCTGGCAGTGTTCCAGCTAAGCTGAGTTAGTGTGAGCTAGCTCACAGTTTTTTAGCCTCCGGCTCACACATTTTTGTTTTAGCTCAGGAAGGATGGCTCTAGAGCGGCTAATTAATGCAGCAGCCAAATTGCTCGCTCACAACTTTCATGCCAGTAGCTCACAAAATAGAATTTTTGCTCACAAGACTCCACAGCTTAGAGGGAACATTGCTCCCTAGAATCCAATACTGTAATCACTACACCTGGTTACAAGCCCAGGTAAACGTACGTCCCACCGAGACACATCTTTGAATCTTAAGCAAAGGGGGAATAATCAGGATCACTTAATGTGAGTTAGCGACACCTTGACTGAGGTCCCAAATACGCACGCTTGCCCGCCCCCCCCTTTGAGAGTTTTATCCCCACCTTACCTTGAGTGGCCGTTCCTTCGACGGCTCCTTCCAGCGCAGGTAGAGCTGACCTGCGATCGAGAGGCCCACGAAGAACCAGTAGCTGAAACTGTAGTAGTTGATCAGCTTGAAGATGTCCTCGACGCAGAGGTAGATCAAAGCCATGGCCCCCTGGGGGAAGACATCAAAAGCATGAAGTGGTGGTCCCCCAGGGGGTCCACGCAGCCCAGTCTTCCCACGCGTGTCCAACCCGTCACGACAGGTATTTCTCCATTCAAGTCACAAAGAATAGCTACGGCAGGAGTCTCCGACATGGTGCTTGTGAGCACCATGACACCCACCAATACCTTTCCCAGCACCTGCCAAGTGCTTTTAGGAAGGGGGCAGGGCTAGTAGGTGGGGCTTTTGCCCAGCAGGGCTTCTGATTGGCTGTGCAGATTAAAAGGCCTCTGCCTGAAATGCTGAAGAGGTTAAAGAGTTCTATATAACCTCACTCTCTGGTATTTTGTGGTGTGGTTTGAGAGCCAGCTTGGTGTAGTGGTTAAGAGCGGCGGACTCGAATCTGGAGAACCGGGTTCGATTCCCCACTTCCCCACCTTCAAGTGACCTTGGGCAAGTCACAGCAGACTCAGCTTAAAAATAAGCATAGCTCGCCACCTAGTGGTGCCAAAAAAGAGCTACAGCTTCAGGCAGCCAAACAATCCTTCGTGATCTCCTGGCTATTCCACACACAGTGCCAAAAGATAATTATCATTGCGGTTGACGTCATCTATGGCAGCTATTTTATGATTGGCTTTGCCTCCTTTGGCAGTCATTTCGTGACTGTGCCCACCACCACCCTGTGTCAGAATTCCAACAGTGTCCGCAGGCTCAAAAAAGGCTGGGGACCTGAAAAGCTACTGGATCCCCAACATCACCACCCTCATCCCACCGACCACAGAAGAACAGGTCTTCCCAAGATCTTTGATCCACATCGCTTCAGATAGTTCCTCCTTACAATTGAGCTTGCTCTTCCCCCAAGGAGATCAGAGGGAGCAGGAGTCCGGGTGGGGGTTTTTTTCCAAATAATCCCATCAAAAAATCTGGTCAGGCCCAAATTGGCTTATCTTCACAGACAGAACCACGTCCAACGCTTTCGGCACATTTTCTGGGATCGCTTCTTGTCAGGTTCAATCAGCCATTTGACGGCATCCCTGTCAAGATCGATCACCCTCCATTTCGGCAGAGTTTCCACCTCCTTATTGAGGAAGCCAAAAGTACGTCCCCTACACACCTTTTGGAAATGGGTCGGTTTAACAGGCAATTAAATAAAAAACAGGGCTCTTTTTGTAGCAGGGACTCCTTTGCTAATAGGTGACACACCGCAAATGTAGCCAATCCTCCAAGAGTTTACAGTAGCCCCTGTAAGAAGAGCTCTGTAAACTCTTGGAGGATTGGCTACATTAGGAGGAGGAGAAGGAGATTGGATTTATACCCCATGGCCCTTCACTACCCAAAGGTGTCTCAGAGCGGCTTACAAACTCCTTTCCCTTCCCCTCCCCACAACAGACACCCTGTGAGCAGTGTTCCCTCTAAGCTGAGTTAGTGTGAGCTAGCTCACAGTTCTTTAGCCTCTGGCTCACACATTTTTGTCTTAGCTCAGGAAGGATGGCTCCAGAGCAAACAAATTTGTGCAGTAGCCAAATCACCTGTTCACAACTTTAATGCCAACAGCTCAGAAAGTAGGATTTTTGCTCACAGGACTCCACAGCTTAGAGGGAACATTGCCTGTGAGGTCGGTGGGGCTGAGAGAGCTCTTGACAGAAACGGCTCTTTTTTTCAAGAACAGCTCTTATCAGAACTACGGCTTGCCCAAGGTCATCCAGCCAGGTGCGAATGGAGGAGTGGGGAATCAAACCCGGTACTCCCAGATTAGAGTCCGCACACTTAACCACTGACTACACCAAACTGGCTTACCTAATATGCAAAGGAGTTCCTGCTACAAAAAGAACCCTGCTAAGCCAACTAATGGGCTGTGTTTTTACTGATGATCGATTCAATGTGTGTAAGTTTGCACAGGAAGATAAATAGCGCTGGCGGGGACAAGAGCAGGCTTGCTTGGTTTTTTCGATGATGCTCAAATGTGTCCGGGAGAGCATGACCTTAAAAGAAGCGTTCCCTCCCATGGGGGTGAGGAGGAAAGAACGCCTCTTCAAAGATGGTGCATTCTTTTCTAAAGCCTCGCATTAAAAAACGATTGCACTGTTTTTTAAAAAAATTGCTGCCTGGCTAATTAGGCGCATGCGGTAATTGACAAAAAGCCCTTTCCTCAATTAACCTTCTGCTGACTCAACTTCGCAGGCCCCGATCCTTTGAATGTGGCCCTCCCCTGTCCACGTAACGCCTTTTACTAGGGAACCATCAAAACAGAGCCCAGATCAAAACCCAGAAAGAAACCGCAATCTGCATCATACCTTTTAGGAAGACCAACCAAAATGACCCAAAACGCGTGCCATAGCCAATCCTCCAAGAGTTTACAGAGTTTACCTATTTGGGTCATTTTGGTTGTCCCTGATAAAGTTGTATTGTGTGGCTTGTGGTTTGTGTTGGGATTCGGGACCGGCGTTGTTCTAAACAAAACTTTTGCCTATGCTGCTGCTGCGTCAACATAGGTTTGCAGCTTGCAGATACACACCTGAACAGCATAATCAAGATTGCAACAGCGCAGACATTTTGATGCAGTAATCCAGAGCAAGAGGTGTCAGTTATCAGACACTGTTAAATAAACAAAATGTTGCAAGAGTGCTGATGTTTTAAGCGTGTTTTTATTTCAAGTAAAAAAAAACCCTTTGTGTTTGTGTCCTTTATCAAGTTTATATCTCCGCTACCTGGCATTACATTTCATGACACACGTGGCCCGGCCCAACGAGGTCTCATTTATGTCAGATCCGGCCCTCAGAACAAATGAGTTCGACACCCCTGACCTAGACTTTTTGGAGGGCTGGCTAGGCTGCCCCTCCCGCCCTACACCACCATGCAGGCTGGGATGTCCCCCCCACCCCACCCCGTCACAAGGTCTTACGTTAAAGAGAAGGGCCGGGACAGGCGTGAACCGCTTGACGTGGATCATGCAGATGGCATCGGGCAGGTGTCCCTCGCGGGAACCGACAAAAAACAGCCTGAAAAGATAGGGAGCGTGAGAAAGCTGCAGGGTGAAACTGAGGGCGATCGTCCAGCCCTGTGACTGGCACCATATAAGGAAGAGAATGTCCCAAAGAGCAGTGACGGGCCCAGAACCCTTCCTGTCGTCTCAGAAGTCTCTAAAGCCCCTCATCATCAGGGAGGGGTCCCGTGGCTCAGGAGTAAAGCATCTGCTCGACGTGCAGAAGACCCCAGGTTCAATCCCCAGCATTCCCAGTTAAAGGGGTCAGGTAGTAGGTGATGTGAAAGACCTCCGCCTGAGACCTTGGAGAGTCACTGTCAGTCTGAATAGACAATTAGTGACTCTGATGGACCAGTGGCCTGACTCAGTACGATCTGACTGTTTTGCTTGACTACGTCCTATTGGTTCGTTTGGCCCCTGTGTTTTTTGGTAAATTCTATACGTTCATTTGCACAGTTTTTTGTATTGAACTTAGTGTTGTACTATTTTCAGTCGAGTTACTACTTGTGAATTTTCACTGGTGGGACATTTATACTCTTGACCGCTCAGCAATTTCATGGAGTGCCCACAAGTTCTTGTATTGTGAAAAAGGGAGAAAAGTACCTCTTTCTCTACCTGTTCTTTCCCATGCATAATCTTATAAACCTCGATCATGTCAGCCCTCAGTCGTCGTTTCTCCAAGCTAAAGAGCCCTAAGCGCCTTAACCTTTCCTCATAGGGAAAGTGTTCCAACCCCTTTATCATCCCAGTCGCCCTTTTCTGCACTTTTTCCAAAGCTATAATATCCTTTTTAAGGTGTGGTGACCAGAACTGCACACATCAGTTAGTGAGAACTGTCACAGCTCGGGTTCACACTCTGGGGCTGCGTCTGTGTTGTGCAACAGGGTGTGAGGAAGGCCACAACCCTGCGCTGGTTTGGGGGGCTTTGAAAAGGCAGAGGTCTTCCATCATGCCTCCAGCAGCCCCGCACACGATGACTGTGACTTGCTCACCTTCCTCTGTATTATACATTGATACATTTGTTTACCAGTTTACGTACGCTGATTTGGCGCCCTCACCCGGATGGTCCAGGGTAGCCCAATTTTGTCAGATCGCAGAAGCGAAGCAGGGTCTTACTATATATGATTCTTTTTCTAGTAATGGGGAGCTTTTGAGGCGCAGCCCACTTTCGGGGTTTAGTGTTTCTGGTTTCACTATCTCTCCCACTCCGTTGTTCTTTGTTGTTTTCGTAGTCCTGATTCAGCATAAGGCAGCTTCATATGTACACATGTATACGACCCTGATAATCAAGACCAAGCCCACCCATCTGCACCAGACTAGGTAGCTCTCTGAGCATCAGAGAGTGGCTTCCAGTGTTCCCTCTAAGCTGAGTGTGAGCTCGCTCACAGTTTTTTAGCCTCCGGCTCACACATTTTTGTCTTGGCTCAGGAAGGGAGGGAGGGAGTCACTGGTTACCTGGAGGCTGCTAAAATGGAGGCATTGAGGCCTCCAAAGCAGGACAACGCTACAGCCAACGGAATGGTCCAATTCATCACTCCGAACACTTGGTCGGCAAAGGTCTGCAAAGGAAAAAGAACAAGAAAATGCAACCAAGAGGCAAACCTCTTTGGCCATAGCCCTAGGCCTCAGATACTGTCCATTGTGCCAGCAAGTGTTTTATTGGCTTTACTGTTTTTATGGTTTTACGGATTTTATGTTGTAAGCCGCCCTGAGCCCACTTGTGGGATAGGGAGGAGGAGGAAGAAGAAGTCGTCGTCGTCGTCATTGTTCCCTCTAAGCTGAGTAACTGTGAGTCAGCTCACAGTTTTTTAGCCCCCGGCTCACGGGAGTTTTGTCTTCGCTCAGGAAAGGAGGGCTCCAGAGCAAACTGATTTATGCAGGAGCCAAAGCGCTCGCTCACAACTTTAACGCCGGTAGCTCACAAAGTCGAATGTTTGCTCACAGCTTAGAGGGCGCACCAGTAGTAGCTCCAACTCCGTGGAAGATGTTGACACTAGGACAACCAGCTGGGAATCTGTTAAAATGATTAACTGATTGCCCATTCCGGAGCCTCGCACTGAAATGAGTACGCTTGGAAGGGGGGTTCTTTTGAGTCTGGCAGGACCCAGAGTGAGCAAAAGGGGACGGCTCTCGGGACACCAGCCGAGCGGACTCTTTTGTAACCCACCAGAGAGGAGGCCACTCACCACAGCCACAGCATCGCTGGCCAGTATGTCCGTTTTGCTCAGCACCGAGTAATACGCCACATTGGTCATGATGTAGATCACTGTGACGATCGGCATGGAGATGCCGATGGACAGGGGCAAGTTCCTGAGGAAGAGGCAAAGAGAGAAACAGTCAGGCCTTTCTATCCTGCCCTCCGACCCTCCCTTGGCGCCATTCTGGCACCTTAGTCAGACCCAGGATGGACAGAATACCTTGAAGCCCTTCTGTAATGATTCCATGTTTTAAATGTTTTAAATGTTTAGTTTGTCTGCAGTAATATGGGAAGAATGACAGAGGGAGATGAGTGTATTGTGATTGGCTGCTGACTGAGAGTGGGGGAGGAGATGTTCTAAGAGGAATCTGTGTGTGTGTGTGAGAGAGAGAGAATTCTATATGTGAAGTTTGAAGAGTGAGCATAGTCTGTGTGACTATAGGATTTTGAGTCTATTTCTGAGTGAATAAGACCAACAGTTTAGTCTGTGTGACTAAGAGGGTTGAGTCTATTCAGTGTGAATAAAACAAAAAGACTAGCCTGTGTGGCGATATATATGAGAGAGAGAGAGTATACTGAGTGTATAAACCTGTCAGAGTGGATTTTGGAGTTTGAGAGACTGTTTGTAGCTCCAGGCTTTGCCAGTTATATTTACAAGTTCCTTTCTTCAGCAACAGTTCAAAATAACCAGACACCTATTTTGTTATTTATTAAATAAATCAATTTTTGTTTAAACTTATCCCAGAAATCAGTACAGTACTTCCTCAGGGCCTCATAGTCCTCTGAAGTGCCCAGACCCTGGGTCATACTACCAAAAAAGAGAGATTTGGAATTTTTAATTCCTGGTGGCAGCAGAAAACTACCAAGTTTATACACACAGAGAGTGTTTAAAGGTAAAACTGTTTCCCCTATAAGCAAGGACGTCAGACCTCCAATTACCACAAAGCACCACTCCCCAGGACTTTGTTTGCAGAACCCCTCATACCTAGAGTACCATTGATGGCTCACTGTAATCTCCCAGAATTTTTTGTTTGCTTACTTTACAAACTATACTGAGACAATTTCAAGGGGTAGCTGTGTTCATCTGTAGGAGAACACCACCTTAGAGATTAATGAGGTTTTCAGGTTATCAGCTCAAGAGTGTCAAAGCTCTCTTGAAAGCTTATACCCTGATGCAGGTATCTAATGAAGGGAATTCTGTTTTTGTATATGGATTGGCTGTTTCCTGAGGAGGATGCCAGTCACAGCTACTGGCGAAGCATCAGGTCCTACAATGCCCAGACCACGACCATACAAAAATCTACAACAGCTAATGAACTCCGGCCGTGAAAGCCTTCGACAACATACAGCTCTGAAAGAACTTAAGAGGGGAGCGGTGGCACAGTGGGTATATCCCACTGTCTTAACATCCGAACTGTGTCAGTTCCGAGCCCCGCGCTGGTGTGAGCAGCCAGCCTGTTGTCCCCAGCTCATCGTCCACCCAGCGATTCGAAAGCCTCGGTGAGTAGATAAAATGGGAACCACTCCTTAGAGAGGGTGGCCACACCAACTCCCCTGTGGGAAGGTGTTAGCTGTCGGTTGGGACGACCTGCTCCAGGATCGGAAAGGCAGAATAAACTACTCGGCTACAAAAAATCCCTGTAGTGGGATGCTCCGGCCAGGCGGTGGCAGTGTGGCGATATGACATACGGGTCCTGAAGCCCCAACGTCATCAAGCTGGTCGACGCAGCCGTTCGGGACATGACTGATCCAAGCCAGAGACATTTCCACCGTGCAGTGACGGCGTGTGCAATTAAAAAATGAATTATATGTTGTCTTTCCTATCCCCTATGAAACATTGTTAGTCCCCTGTCTAAAAGTGTAACTGTAAATCACTTTGATCCCACTCGTGGGGAAAGCGATTAATAAATCGAAAGCATTATTATTATTATCACGACTGACCCAAGACCAGAGCACCGGTGTTTCTCTCCCTTTCAAATACAGCTCTGAGAGAACTTGTGACTGACCCAGGGTCACACCAGCAGCTGCATGTGGAGGAGTGGGGGAATCAAACCCGGGTCTCCCAGAGTAGAGTCCGTACTCTTAACCACTACACCAAACTGGCTAAGGTGCTCCTGGACTCGTATCTAGCAGTTATATTGAGAAAATTATAACAGGTTCAGACGTTTATTTTAAAAAAAGGAGGCTGATGAAAAAATGTCCAACTAAATGGAAAACACCAAGTCTTCTACTTCATAACCAGTTTGGGAGCCAGAGAGATGTCAGTGTGTCGGAAGTGCCTGGGTGATCTTGGGCCAGTCGCTCTGTTTTGGCCCAATCTACCTCACAGGGCTGTTGTGAGGAGAAAATGCACAGTGGGAGAAAGTTGTAAGCCACACTGGATCCTCACCAGGGAGGAAAATAGGGTATAAATGAAATAACTAAACAACTGAACTTGGAGATCGTTTTACTTCTAGGATGACGGCAAGATAGCCCCTCTCTCTCCTTTTTCTTTTTCTTTTTTAACAGATAATTTTTATTCATTTTTATAAACAGCAAAGATTTACAAGGTAAGCATGAGCACAGTCAGCTCTCGATCAGGGCCGGCTCACCCGCTAAGCGAACTAGGTGCTCGCCTAGGGCGCACTAGCCCTCAGGGGCGCCAAACTGCTCCCCCCCGCCACCCTAACCGGCAAAAGAGAAAAGGCAGCGGGGATCGAGGGTCTCTGCCCCCGCGCCCCCACCCCTCTTGCTCTCTCTCTCTCTCTGCGCCCGGCCGGGGTGGAGGAGGAGGCGCCGCAGCTTGCCCGCCCTCCCCCCTCAGGGGGAGGAGGCAGAGACGGCATGGCGGTGTGGCCAGTGGGCGATCGCCGCCGCCATGGGAAGGGGCCGGGGAGGAGAGCAGGGCCCCGTGGCAGCTGAGCTGAGCCCCCCCTCCCGGCGAGAGAAAAGGCAGCAGGGATTGAGGGTCTCTGCCCACCTGGCACCCACCCCTCTCGCTCTCTCTCTGTGGCGCCCAGCCAGGGTGGAGGAGGCGCCGCCGCAGCTCACCTGCCCTCCCCCCTGGGGGGGGAGGAGGAGGTAGCAGCAAAAGGGCCTCCAGGCCCCACCGGGAGGTTGGCATCTGCGCCTCGCCTAGGG